TACATAGGCAATTATCAATGGAGGAGAAAAGAATGACCAGAAGGAGGTTAGCATAGAAGGACAGTGTTATAAATCAATGTGAGACATTTATTTCATAAATGGTTTTGGGAAAAGTAGACATAATCTTATTATTAATCAACTCTGTCACACCTTTGTGGTTGTAAACACTATGTTTTCTCAAACCTATCATGTTGTCAGGGGGGTTTGCTGAGCCAATGTTGAACCATGCATTTGGAGGTGATTCCAAAAGCTAATGGCTTATTAAATGGGGTACATTAATTCCAAAACAGGAATTCTTGATACACATAATTCAACTGCAGGTCTGTTGGTTTTGTTTCACATATTTTGAGGCCATGTTGTTGGGTGCATGTGTGTGTATTATCAATATATCTTCTTGCCATTTGGCTCCTTTTCCCACCATAGGACATCTTTCCATTTCCAATAAGTTTTTTTTTTCCTTGAATTCTATTTTGATCCTAGGTTATGAACTTATTTCAACTTATTTTTGTTCATATTTGTCACATATCTTTTACTACCCATTTATTTTAATTAATTCTGAGTCCTTTGTTCTAAATGTTTCTTTTGTGGAAAAAACACTGTTGTATTCTTTAAAAAGATGCAACCTCATAGTCTTGGCTCTTAATTGGTGACTTTAATATATCACTATTCTAAAGCTATATGAGTATTTATTATTGCCATCTTTTCTCAATTGCGTATTCACTATATATTTTGGGCGTCTTTTTCATGCTTTCCATTGAACAGAACAGATCCTCTTTGTGTATTTAAAACTTATACATTTAAAAATCAATGACAGGGGCGCCTGGGTGGCTCAGTTGGTTAAGCGACTGCCTTCGGCTCAGGTCATGATCCCGGAGTCCTGGGATCAAGTCCCGCATCGGGCTCCCGGCTCGGCAGGGAGCCTGCTTCTCCCTCTGACCCTATCCCCTCTCATGCTGTTTCTCTCTCTCTCTCTCTCTCTCTCAAATAAATAAATAAATAAAATCTTTAAAAAAAATCAATGACAGTTGCCTTAATATAAAAGACCCATACTTATGAAATTTTTTCCTACTAAACACAAATATCATGACCATTTCTACATACCAACTACCAAGCTTACACAATAAAACAAAACTTTCATGGGTGCTGACTAAATACCCCTCTTATTGACATTTCATCCCCACCCTGTAAAGTTACTTTTTTTAGAATGTGATGTTTATTCTCCCTGTGAATGACTGTATATATCCGTAGGTTTTGTATAGTAATGATATACATGTTTTAAATTCAATAGAAATAGTATCATCTGGTATGTATCCTTTGAGACTTGCTTTATTTTGTACTCAATATTATATGTGAGATTGATCCAGGTTGGTACATATATCTATATTCACTGTTCTATAGTGTGTTGTATATATCCATTATATGAGCAAACCACTTCATTATCTATGGTACATATTATCCAGTTTCAGCAGCAGGAGATTGGAACCAAAACAAAATGAACATTCTTTAAGTTGATTTTAGGGAGACAAAATGCAAATGAACTCATAAAAAGAAACGAGTAAAATTCCTAATTTGGACATTGAGCAAATTGACATAAAGCCCAAAATCTCAATAAGAGGAAAAACAAGCTGTGGTACCAGAAATAATTTCACCACCTAATGACCCCTGTATTAGTCTGCTCTGGCAATCATTACAGAATAGCACAGGCTGGATGGCTTACCAACAGAAAGGTACTTCTCTCAGTTCTGGATGCTGGAATTGCAAGATCAAAGTCCCATCAGTGTTGCTGTGTGGTGAAGTCTCACCTTCAGTCTTACACATGGCCATCTACTCACTGTGTCCCCACCAGGCCCCTTCTCTGTGTGTGCGTGGAGAGGGAAAGAGAGAGAGATCTCTGATATCTTTCTCTGTTTTTATAAGGGCAACAGTCCTACCAGATCAGGACCCTATCCTTAGGACCTCACTTAATCTTAACTGCTCCCTAAGGCCCTATCTCCAAACACAGTCACATTGGGGGTTAGAGCTTCAACATATGGTTTGTGGGGGTACACAGTCACTTTATAACTTTTATAACTTCCAAATCATAAATACCAGTTAGCTTTTGCCACAGATATAAACAACCTCGAAATCTTCATGGCTTTCCAAAGCCAGTACTTATTTTTCTTGGTCATGGGCATGTAGTAGGGATGAGGATGATCTCAGCTGGTGTTGGCTGCATGTGGATCTAGACTGCAGGTCAGGTGTGGTTCCACAAGCCTCGTTTTGGAGTCCAGGCTAAAAGGGTAAAGGACACCTAAGCATGTACTTTTCAAGGTGATGGCAGTATCACAAGAGCACAAAACCCAAACACATAAACACATTTCAAGCCTCAGCTTTACCATGTCTACCAACATCGCATCAGCCTAATCAAGCTACTTGGCCAAGCCCAACATCAAGGGGCAGGATGTCCATTTCACCTACCACGCGGCCATGGCAAGACTAAGCATATGTAATACTACCATGCATAGTGAAGACTTGGGAGCAATAATTCAATCAGCCACAGCATATATTCTCAAGCTCTGAGTGTTTGCCATGAGTCTTAATGATACTAAAGGACATTCTTCTGCTACAATGGCCCAGTGGTTTTGAGTTGTCAGGACTGATGCTGCGGCCCAGCAGAAGTCTTCTGTCTGTCCATGTTGTACTTTGATTCCTTACCTACTCTTTACATAGCTTCTTAGGGTTCTGAGCCAGTGCACCATATGTCGTGGTTTGAAGGTTCATTAGTCACTCTGAGATCTGTGAGTCTGAGTCAATGGAGAAGTATCCAGAGTTCTGGTGGGAATTCAATGCAGTATTAGCTTAAGTACTGGTGAAGTTGCTTTGGACCCCAGACTAAAATGGTTTCTCAGCTATTTCCCCTTCTGATTTGAACTTACTTGCCTAGTCTCAGGTATCACTCCTAGAGAGCACCCTGCGTGTCTGCCTTGTTACAGCGTGGGAGGAAGAAAAGCTGGTCAGATGAATCTGGAGGAGGAGAATTGTAGGGCGAGAAGGGTGCTCAAACCAAAGAGCAGGCCCTGTGGAGGTCTTGAGGCAGGAGGTAGAGTGACTGGTGGCCACTGCAGAAGCATCCAGGCATTTGAAGGGTTCATGGTCCAGGTGTCTGAATTGCTGAAGATGAAGGACCCTGGACAGTCTATCCTGAAGAAAATCAAGCCGAGAGGGGACTTGAGAGTTGACCGTGAACATAAAGAGAGAAGACATAACTCCATTCATTCTCTCATTCATTCAATAAATATTTGAGTGCTACCTTTACCAGGCATCCTATTCTGTGTATTGAGAATTAAGCAATTAACAAAATAGCCATATCCCTGCTCATGTGGGACTTACACTATTTATGGAGTGGGGTACAAACACCAAGGTAATTAAATAAAAAATATATAATATCCTCGAATAGAAGGTAGTAAGTGGTAAAGAGAAAAAAATAAGGCAGAGAAGAGGGTTAGGGTGTGTTGGCAAGGTGAGGTACAGTTTCAGAAAGGATGACCAGGCTAGATGACATTTGAGTAAAGATCTGGAGGAAATGGGGTATGGGGTGGGGGCATTTTGCCACAGGTACAGCAAGGGGAAACACTTGAGGGGGTTGGTACCTGGGGGTGCGGGTTGAAGCCTAGCAAGAAGGCCAGTGTGTGAGAGGGAAGTCCAAGATGAGGCCAGGTAGGTCATGGGGTTGGTGGTGAGGGGAGGGGAGGGAAGATCAGTGTGGACCTTGGAAGCTGCTGCAATGTCCCAGGTGTTTCCTCCATGGAATGCGGAGTCAATGGAGTACTTTGTGCATAAAGGAGACCTCTGGGTGATTTCCAGCAAAAATGGGTGACAGTGTGGAGTATAGAGTGAATGGAAATGAGGGTCATAATTCTAGGGGCTCCTGAGGAAATAACTAGAGTCAGTGCGGAGAAGGGGGTGACTTTTCCAACTACAAGACCTCACCTAACTGAGCATCCACCAGTGAAACTGGCTGCACAGTCCCCCTGGGAGCCAGTCAGCAGCATGTCACTGACAGTCCCAGCAGGAGCCAGGGATGCTGACGCTGGGAAATTCCTACAGCAGGTAAGGCATTCAACTCGGACATCCCAGACTCCTTCCAATACTGAGCATATATCACCCTAATCTCCCCCAGTTAGAGTGCAGGGCTTCTGTCTCTTCTGTTCATCACCGTATTCCTGGGGCCTGGAATAGTGTCCGGCAAATAGCAGCCACTCAATGAGTACTTGTTAAAGGTATGAATGTCTCTGTTAAACATATTGCAGGCTTTTGAGCAGCGTACTTTTCTTCTCAGCACCCCAGAGAATAAGAAAAGGTGAACTGGATGACACCTGCTGACCTTTCCAGGCCTGCAGGTCTGTGACGGCATCTCAGACTCTGAGCCATTGTTTCTAAAGGGCTTCGCAGGCTCTGGGGTGTATAAGGAGTGCTGATGGGGAGGAAAGGCAGGGCTGGTAAGGGCAAACCTGAGTCAAGGGGAAGTGCACAGATAACCTCTGTTATCTTTGGGGACCAGGGAATTCTGACAATAAAAGGGAATTGTCTTTGAGATGTATAGAGTAGAGTTCTCATCCCGCTCTGGGATGCTGAGGACCCGTCCCATCCCAAGCATGTTGCATTTGCTTCATGGGTCAGCCTGCTCGACAAAGCCTTCACAGGTCTCTAGGCTTTGCTGGGAGAAACACCATACATAGCAGTAAGCACTCCTCTTAAGTGTATCGAAAACCCTTTCTTATCTTGACGAAGTTCACCAGTGACAACATTTCTTCAGAGAGTTCCGTGCAGGCACAGTATCTATTATGTGCCCCCAGACACCCACCAGGCAGCTACTCCCCGTCCCCCTGAGCTTTCGCAGGATTGCCAACATCAACAGGTTGGCTGACAGGGCCCATCTTTGCTACCAGAGAAGCCAGTGAGACATGCTGTTATATTTCTTGAACAATCAAATACAAAAAGATGCACACTAGGTAATTGCAATGATTTTATTCTATATTTATTTAGCTTTAGTTTATTTCAGACAGTGTTTTTAATATTAAGCATGCAGATGTATGTGTGTTCCATGCTCCTTATCCTATGAGTTGCATTCATTATAAATTAAAGGAAGTAGTGTTTGCTTCATGGTGACCTAGAAAAAAATATATAACAGCCAGAATTTAGTAACTTATTAATTGTGAAAATATTGACATCTATTATCTCATTCAGTCTTTACATTAATACTGGCAAGTAGATACTATTGTTGTCCTTGATTCACAGACAGAGAAATGGGCTCGGAAAACGCGTCTGGCCTGTGGTCATACAGCTAGAAGAAGGCAAACTCAGTTCATGATCCCAGGAGTAGGCTCTGAATTCAGATGTACATGACATTATAGTGTTTACACCCAAAGCATGTCATTACCTTTCAAACCCAAAAGATAGAATAATCAGTTATAAGTGCAGGGGACAGTCATTTAAATAAACAGATCTATCTTTTCTGGCAAATGATCTCAGTGTCACAGGGAGATACTGGTCAATGGAGGGGAATGAACCTAAATTCTAGGAGTTTCAGCTACTGGGACTCCCTGTTCCCCCTGCACACCCTGGAGTGGGCACATTGCCCTGTGGATTTTTTCTACTATGTGGACTCTCAGGGGGTCAAAGTGTGGACTGCACCCCTGCAATACCCAGTTTTCCATCCTCCCATCTGACACTAGAAGGGCAGTCACCTCCTTCTGGGAGTCCTTTCACTGCTTAAGCCCTAAGCTCCCTGCGGCGGCGATTGTAGACTTTGAAGCCCATGCTGGTAGGCAGCAGGTTGGTGTTTGCCACACTTCCAGCTCTGCTCAGCAAGCCTCCCAGCCAGTGGGCCACACAGGTGGCAGAGCTGCAGGATCTCTTCTGGACAGTGACTCTAATGAGCAAGATGGAGAAAGAAGAGAAGATTATGAGTGAGAGGTTCACACGTAACCAGTCCTAACTCCTCCAATGCTGGGAAGTCCCCTCAGTACTACCAGCCCAATTTCCAGAGTGGGGGATGTCATACCTTTCCCAACTGCTTTCAGAAAGGGATCTTTGTCCATGTGCTCTTAACCATAGACTCTGTGTGACCTCTGTTGTCAGTGGAGCCTGAGAATAGCTGGGCCCCAGGCCCAGGTGAACAATGGCAGTGTGCTGGCCTCCTGTCCGGCTGTGTTCTCTCTTACCTCCTGGGATATGCCTTCCTGGGCATGACAGGAGGGAGGGGCTGCCCTGAGCTGAGCCGGGTGGGGAGCCTCACCTGGAGCCCTCAGTCTCCTGCTCCTGCTGCAGCTCACGGGCCTTCATTTGCACATAGTCCTTCAGCACTGCAGCCAGTAGGAGTCGCAATTCCTCCTCATTGCGCACAGGGTCTGGACGACTCTCCAAAGCTGACCTGGGGAGGGAAAGAAAACCCAATGCAAGCTCTGAGTCCCCCCTGTCTCCCCAGAGTAAGCAGCCAGGCTTCCTGGTAAAAATAACAAAAGCATTCTGTGAGACTCAATGAGTTGTATGAAATTTATAATAAAGAATATTGTATATCATTGTTATTTTTCAATTATGTGCTACACATTCTTTATATCAGATAAATATACACTCCCCCATTGCCCCCCTCACCAGTTGGTAAACTTTCAGCACACCACAATTCTGAGAAAGGAATTGTCTGATCCCAGGAGCAGTGGGAGGGGAGGGTACTCCTGACAGGGCTGTCTTACCTGAATGGTGCTGCCTGGAGGACGCCCACCTGGTACAGGGCCAGGACGCTGAGAACCAGTAAAGGAGAGAACTTCCAGAAGCCCATGATGCTTCTCTGCAAGGGAAGAAAGATGTCACCTTCTGTACCAGTTTGAAGTTCTATGAGCCCAAGCACCTGGGCTCTAGTTCTGCTCCTAACTATAACTCCCTGGCATGGTGGCTTCAGGCTGGTCATGTCATTTCCTCTACGATTCTTTCAACTCACCAGGGAAGTGGACTGCTGGAAGATCCAGTGAGCCTGTAGCATACATAGTTTAGCAAAGACAGATGACTGAGAGCAAAGCTATCCTAGCAGGACAACTGAATGAAGAGGATTCTGTCCATAGCCCCCTCCCCACCACCCTACACTCTCACAATGGCCAGGTCTCCATTGAAGACAATCTCTGAGCACCCTGTCACCAAAGCTGCTCTCATATCACAACCCAGAACTGTCCTCCCTGTGTAGGGCTTTCGCTTATACCTGGCGGGGCGTGGGGAGGTAACTAAAAAGGAAATAACTCTACCGATGGAATCTTAGAGAAACTAAAGAAACAAATTCTGCTCACCCGCTCCGCACTCTGGCAAAGAACCTGCAAGAACCAAGCTTAAGCAGAGTCTTAAATTGGGGCTAGGACTTAAAGCAAGGGGGAAAAGCTCCCAGAACTCACTAATGGGGCTTGCTGTTCAAGGCTGCCTGCCTCCAGGGTTTTGAGCCTATTTGACCCCCACTGAGGCTGGCCAAAGTTCTGAAATGATTTCCCAGGGACCACTAGGCACAAACAGGATCCGTGAGCACCCTTGCGTCCCACTGTGTGCGCGGTGTCTGTGGAGCTCCAGGGTCCTGAGCCAAGTGCAGCAAGAACAGCAAGACTGAAGCCTGTCTCAGTGCGGAGTGAAGCAGGGAGTCCCGGAACCGAGACTGTCCAGTGTTACCTGAGGCAGGAGCCTGCGATGAATCGTAGAGTAACAGAGATTTTGTGACGAAGAGACCCAGACAGAAGTGCACAGAGACTCTAAGACACGCAGGGAGAGCAGCTACAAGAAAGACGAATGCAGAAGAGGGAGGGAAGAAGAAGGAGAGAGAATCACACAGCTAAGCAGGAATCTCGGGGCTCACCTGGCAGCAGGCAGCAGGTGGCTTGGAGCCCAGGCGGTGGCAGCTGCGGCAGCGTTGGCGTCAGGCGATGGCGCTGTGGAAGCGGCAGGGACAGTTGAGTGGAGCGGTGGCTCTGCTGCCTCCCAGCACCAGCAGCTGCTCTTATTCCCGCCGCTCTGGGTCTGGGGTGGTCCAGGAGCTCTGAGCAACCAATGAGAGGACAGATCTCGTACCCCATTGGATTGTGTCACCCATTTACGTCCAGAACCTAGAACATTACGCGGGACCATCCCACTTGTATTTGCATTGAGGTCATTGATGGGAGTGGAGGGAGGGAGAGGGATGGTGGGGACTGAGGAGAAATACCCTTAATATGAGCAGGAAGTTGAGGGCAGTTTGACGTCATGGTAAATTTCACCTGTTCAGTTCTGCTGGGTTTTGAACGTGCGCCCCTCTCCATCCCCAGAGGTGCAGTCGTATAGGGCAAGATCCAGGAAGCAGGGCATCCTAGCTCCCCAAGTCTGACCCTAGATCCCCCGTCCAAATGAGGCTTGGATGGTTAACAACGTACAGCAACATTGATTCTGGACACAAGCAGGGTGTCTAATTCGGATAGCTGGAATTACAGAGGGGCAAAGCTCATGGGAAGCAAGAGATGGGAGTGATAGCAAGAACTTTGTCAGTAGAACTCAATTCCAGGCAGTAAGGTCAAGGGCAATTAACTTCTCAGCACCTCAATGTACTCATCTTTGAAATGCGGACCATATTCCCAGCTTGAGAACATACTGTGGTTAGTAGCCATGTGCCTGTCCCCCAGTGGGGGAGGAATTTACGAGAGCCCTCAGGCCCAAAGAGGGACTTTGTGAAATCGCAATCTCAATTTTCCAGATTCCCACCTTGTGTGGCTTCCTGGATTCGTGCTGGGTGGTCTCTCATGTGGGTTAGGAGGACCTGGAAGCCCTGCTGGGCCTGAGCCTGAAGGTGTTAGGCACCGATGCTTCCCAAGCCTCCAAACGGACTTCTAGCCCTTCCTCTTCCTATCCTGTCATCCATCACCTCTGGCTCCTCACCCTGCTGGAGCCATTTGCCCAGCTGCCCCTTGCTTCTGGCTGCTGTTTGCCAAGTTGTCCTTGTGGCGTGCAATTCCAGTCCTGTGCCCGCCTCCCCTGCACTTCAGTCCTCCACTAGAGAGCAGAGCACGCTCGAAGGTACTGAAGAGTCCCTGCGGATACTAAAGCTCACATGCAAAGCTTTCCCACAAACTCATTTCTGTCTTCAAACATGTGCGCACTCCCCAGAGCACAAGCCGGCGCAGGGGGTCTGACACCCGGGGCATCCACGTGGGTTCACTGTGAATCGCGGCCCGAGCCTGCCTCCGAGTCTCTCTCTCTCTCACGGGATCACATGCACACTTGGCATGGTGATGATCTGCTGAAATCATACCTGCACTCACTCTCAATTGTAAGCGTGCTCTCTCATGTAGCACCTCCACTCTCTCCAGGACACACCAAATGGAGGGTTTTAGGACCCCTCCAACCTGATCTTTCCACTCCCAGCTCACCTGGAGGTCCTAGGTCCTGACTTGCCGCCCTTAGCACCGAGAGTGCTGAGGAAGAAGCTTCTCACTGTTCCCAGGATCTCTGAGTCTGAGCGCCGCGCGTGAGCCTCAGCCTCTACATACTCTCCCCGGGCAGCTAGCGTGGCCGTGGCGGCAAGCGTGGCCGAAGCGGCAAGCGTGGCCGTGGCAGCAAGCGTGGTCCCCGCGGCAGCCGTGGTCCCCGCGGCAAGCATGGTGTTGCGGGCACAGTGGGTGGGAGACTACTTCACGGGTCTGTGCAGTGCAGGCAGAGACCCCAGTGAGGTGGTTCTCCCAGGCACAGCGGAAATAATGCCCCGGTACGTCGTATGTGATCCGGGCAACGGTGCACCCCTCTCCTCAGTCCCCAGAAGCCTTTGCATTTCATAGCACACACCTGCTTTGTACCACATCTCCTTCCCTTCTAATTCGGTGGCCACTGTTCGGGGACACCGACTTTCCAAGATGCCTCTGTGCCGCTTTCTTCCATCTTAACTCCTGGTGCTGCCCCACCGTGAGGGAGGAAGTTCGGGACTGGGGATCGGGTGTGTAAAACTCTCTCCCCATGGCGGGCTGGCAGGACGGCGGGTTCTTTCTCCTAGCGTGAACTACAAAACCATTCCCCTCTGAGTCCATCCCTGATTTACCGAGTAGATTCGAGGAAGTTTAGACGTTCACGCGTGCGGGCTGCTTAGATTATGTCCAGCTATCCCTGGAACCTCTCTAAATTGAGGCTACACAGAACACGATTTAATATATAAGTCGCCAAGGAAAATACTGATTTTAAAATAGTCGCTTGAGTATTTTGCTCTTGGTTTTATAATCTTATTTCATAACTTGATGTGAAGAGGCTCACGGTGTTGGACTCCATCCCCAGTGGGACTCATGCGCCACCTCCCCGCCAACCCCCCGCCCCGCGCCCCGCGCTGGTCTTCTGCCTCCTAGCTGCGACCACCACAACTGGGGAATGGCAGCAATGTCTCCTCCCTGCTGTGGGTGCCTGAGCACACAGGTTCAGGGCTAGACGCAGAGCCCAGCACCAGTTGGTCCTACCAGATCATCTTCCACAAAGCCCTGTAACACTGCTGCCTGGAGGGCAAGGCAAACAAACTATAGAAGTTCATTCTCAAGGAAATTTAGAAGATCAATGGCCAACAACTTCCTGATCATCTTCCGAGGAGCCCGTTCCAGCTCCTTACACGCTGTCAGGGGAACCCTCCAGTCATGCCCGCCATGGTGGAAGGCATGTGTAAGTATAACTGGGGCTCCGCATGCCTCACCCAGATCCCTGACAAGACCATGTTCCTGAGTGTGGTGGATGTCTTCACCATAGGGGCACCTCTGGCAGACTAAGACCCCCACCACTCCCAAGAAGGACCATGGACTCCCTAATAGTCCTATTTGAGGCGGTCTGAGGGCTGAGCCCCAAGTGTTCTGGCCATTGCCCACGGAGGACAAACTGAAGGACGGTCAGTTGGTATTCTTGGGTCTTGTCTGTCTCTAGCTTTGTCTGGGGGTGGGAGCTGGAGTCCCCACTTACTTTTTTCCTGTTCTCCTGCGGGAGGAGAACTGGGAGTTTCAGCGAGTCAGGGATCTTCTCAGTCCCCCTGACTATCCTCTCAACCTTCTTGAATAAAATAAAGAGAAGAAATGAATCAAAACCATTTTCCACTGAGCTCATGCCTGATTATCAAGTGAAACCAAGTTTAGATCTTTCTGTGTGCCGATCGCTCTGAAACAGGCAATCCTTGAAACTTCTCTGCGCTTCTCATGGGATCCCACGCACAAACAGCATGATCACGATCTGCCATCATCATACCTGCAGCGACTGTCAATTTTAAGTGCATACCCTAAAACGCAATTATGCAGCACCTGGACCCCTCCAACTGGAGGGTTTTAGGACCCCTCCACCTGATCTTTTCACTCCCAACCTCCCCGGGAAAGTCCGAGGTCCTGATTTGCTGCCCTCAGCACATAGAGTGCCTAGAAAGAAGCTTCTCACTGTCGCCGGGCTCTCCAAGTCTGAGCACGCAGTGCACAATCCTCAGCCTCTACACATTCTCCGCGCGCAACTGCAAGTGCAGCCTTTGCTGGTGTTTTGGCAGCCCCCAGCTGCAAATCCCCCCACCGACAGGGCGGGCTGTGAACGCAGTTGGTGAGGCTGCCTCACGGGGCTACGGGGGCAGGCAGAGACCCCCAGCCAGGCAGAGACTAGCCCCGAGTGTGCCGTCAGTGACACGAACCATGGGGCACCCCTCTCCTCAGTCCCCAAAAGCTTCAGCACTTTAGGACACACCTACCTTGTGTCACATCTCTTCCCCTTGCTAGTTGGTGGCCTCTGCTTGGGGACACCCTGCTTCCAAGATGTCCTTATTCAGCATTCCTCCTTTTTAACCCTTGGCGCGGCACTGCCACGAGGGAATAAAATCTCCCAACTGGAGAACTCTGTATAGCGTCCGTATACTGGCAAGGCTGGGGGGGAATCAGCGATGGAAGACTTGGTTCAAAGGATGCAAATGCACTTAGGCACAGAGCAAAGGAAAGTGAGCTGAGCAAGGGACAGGGCTCAGGATGGTGGATCCCAAGCTCAGTGCGTCTTAGAGACTACACACAGACCCAATCTGGGACTTTGGGGCTCAGCAGTTTACGCCCTGAGTTTGGCCATAGGCTTTCCACCTGGAGGCGCAGGGCCAAACTGGTGAAGGCGGCACAGCAGAGACTGAGTGGCATGGAGGTTGGGCTCTGCCACTTGGGGCTCTTGTAGGTGACTGCTCTCAGGTGCCACATCCTTTCACAGAAACGATTTCCACTCCACGACTCGAGGTTTCAAACTTAAGAACCCTGTGAAATCATTTGTAAATCTATGTGTCCTTGCACTGCACTTTTCTGATGAGAGAACGAACCCTACCTTTCACCAATGCAGGTGACTGCAGAATGGGTAAAAAATGACTGCTCTAGGAGCCAGTTTCGTGGCCACCTCACTTTGCAGGCTCAGGACTTTCCCTGTGGCTGCCAGGTATGCCTTAGGCCTTCAGAGCCAATATTCATTTCTCATTCTGAGATCTTTGGTGGCTACAAAACCCGGGCTGGGGATGTGTGACTGGAATCGGCGTGCATACCCAGAGGGTGCTAGGGTGACTTCCAGCAATTTCAAGCTTTACTTTAAAGGCCAGTATCTCTACACTTAGATCAGTGGAACAGAGTAGAGAGCCCAGAGAGAAACCCATGATTATATGGTTGATTCATCTATGACAAAGGAGGTTGATTCATCTATGACTGTAATATGCAGTAAGAAAAAGATTGTCTCTTCAACAAATGGTGTTGGGGAAACTGGACAGCTGCATGCAAAAGAATGAAACTGGACCAATTTCTTATGACATGCACAAAAATAAACTCAAAGTGGGTTAAAATGTGAGATCTGAAATCATAAAAACCCTAGAAGACAGCACAGGCAGTAATTTCTCTGACATTGGCCATAGAAAGATTTTTCTAGATATGAGTACTCAGGCAAGGGAAACAAAAGCAAAAATAAACTATTAGGACTATATCAAAAGAAAAAT